GCAACACAGCAGCGTGCACACACACACACACACACACACACACACACACACACACACACACACACATTAAATCTGTCTGTTTCTCTGACAGAACAAATGAGCTGCATTCGGATCTGTTAGCTCCAAATCACTCACAGACACAGGAACACACACACAGGAACACACACACAGAAAAACACACACACACAGAAACACACACACAGGAACACACACACAGTCGTACCGCTGGATCTGCGAGAGGAAGTCAGGACTGCTGGTTTTGTCGGGACGTTATGGATACTTCCTGCTTTCACTGAAAAATAAAGACAAAGAAATAAAATCTATGAAAGATCAGAACACTTTAATAGTGACATTTATTAACAAAACTGGGGGTTAAACAATAAATAACTAAACACTGGGTGAAAGACAACATATTTAGTTTTGATCTAATTTTAACGAACACAATAAGATCTCATTTGATGTTTGCATAAGTTCTTCCTGTTAGTAGGTTTAATGTTTCTTTATGTTCATTTTAACTCTAAAGCATAACTTTATTAGACACAGAATGTTATTTAAAAAGGACAGATAAATACTTTCAAATAGCTTCAAAATACATTTAGTATTCTGCTGAACCACAGTAATCTGCTTGATTGTAAAAGTGAAGTAATAGTAATTAACTTTAGAATTCATTTGTTAAATTGTACACTTAATTACACTTAATTACACACTTATTAGGTCAATAAATATGGTTAGAATGAAAATGTTGAATCTAGAAAAAATAAAAATGAAAAAAAAAAAAAAAACAGAAATTTGGAAAAAATAAAACAGATTTCATTTATTGTTTAAAGTCAGTTAGCTGTGGGAACCTTTTCATAATGGCTTTAGTGATTATTCTTTGAAGTTTTATTAAATAGTTCATGAGATATTTTGCTAACAAACTCTCCAGTTTATGACAAACTATTAAAAAAACAATCTTAGTGTTTAAAAGAGGTGTTTGGAATGCCTCGGGTTTTAAAACACTAAACTAGAACTCATTAAAATGATAAATATTAAAATCAAACTTGTTCTTTTAGAGAAAATTAAAGACTCGACCAGAAAATGACAGCTTTTTGTTACAGTTAAAACTAATCAGGAGGAATCTGAAGGTTTTTGCAGACTTAAATTCTGTAATTTGTGTAATCTGTGACTGCATCCTTCATCCTCGGAGTCAACCAGAGGTGCAGATTAAATCCCACCTACAGATCATCATCATCATCATCATCATCATCATCAGCACAAGCTTCAGCTGTTCTGTTAAAACAAACAGTTCAGTCAATAACTTCACCTCCTTATCAGCAGCCGCGGCTCGTTCAGCCTGTCTGCCTGATAAGCTCAGTAAACAGGAAGCAGCGTGCTTCCTTCAGGTAAATATTTGTAAAACTTCTGCAAACTTTCAGAACAAAAAAGGCTCTGGGATCGGATTTATAAAACTGGCGTACGCACAATTTGAGCCCAGAAACTTGCGTACGCCACTTTTCACGCCAAGGTTGTGATTTATAAAATCCAAACTTGACGTGAAAATGTGCGGTGCCTCACAGCTCTGACCCATGCGTACGCTCATTTTGGAGACGTGAAGCTGCGACACAGATGGTGAAGTGAGGAATTAGAGTCACACTATTTAATGATCACCATCAGATATTTAATTTTACTTCATAATCAGACTTAGATCTTAGATTGACTTAAACTTTCTTAACAGTATTATTTATGATTCTGCTGCTGAGCCATAAGGAGCTTTGAAATAAAAAACTGAAATCTTAAATAAAAGTTCACACATCTCC